ATTTCAAATGTCCGCTAGTGATGTGGCGCTACAATATTTGGCTATGTCTTGGCTACTTTAATATTATTTTTACGTGTTTTAGCTGGCAACACTCATTCGACCATGAAAGGGAGCCAGTATTTAAACGAGGCTTAATTTTCTAATTTTTAACGATACAATAGCAACGATTATTATTTTAAAAGATTTTTGTTAGGCTTAACATCGATTAAAATTCAATGCAAAATAGGTTAATCGCAATATACTAATATACTAATTACATGGGATGTAATAATATACTACACTAATAATGGATTTTTTCATACTTTTCGGTTATCCAACCAACCCCAGTCCCCAATTGAGTCGGATAATCGAGGCTCTACTGTAATTACATGCAAAAGGTCAATAACCTGGATAAGCTTTCACCTCCTACAAATGTAACTTGTTCAAGGCTGTCTTTAAATCAAAACATTTCATCATCACTTTGAAAATACTACCTTATACCCTTGCTTTTATGATGTAATCAATTTCTAGAAAATGGTCAGTCAACCATTATAAATCAAACTCCAGTTTCCTATAGTTCTGTGTCATTGATGATTTCCAGAAATAAGTTTTAAACTACAGGTAACCGCCGTATAACACGGGAGTTATGTTCCAAAAAAATTGCGATGTTATGACAATCTGTGTTATACGAAACAAAGAACTAGTGCGAAAAGGGAGGTTAGGTTCCAAAAATTAAAATACATGCTGTTAAATCCTTTTTTAAATCAGATTTATTATTCATTTTTTTATGGGTAAAATACTTATTTATTATTTAAGTAAATATTTTACCAGAGGATTATTCATTCTATATGATGATTTCAGTATGAGCATCATCAACTGGTAACAATTTTTGGGTGCATTCATTAATAGCAGTCACTCTGCATCTCCACTACAACGGGAGTGCGCTGCTGTTTGTAGGCATTTAGGAATGATGGTGAAAGAAAGATGGCGGCACCCACACTATTGATAGTATCGTGATGGAGGAATCTATAATTCTAAAATATGAGCTTTTAGAGGCAAAAGAAGAGTCCCAATTGTACCATCATCGTTACCTCCAACACCAAAAAGTATACAAGGAAAGGATTAAGCAATCAAAACTTGAGTCATGGAGTGCCTTCTGCTCCAGGGCTGGTGGCAATCCCTGGAATTTCATTTATAAACTCAGCGTCAACAAAATGAAAACTACAAATCTTATAAGTAGTGAAGATATTGGTGNACACCAAAAAGCATACAAGGAAAGGATTAAGCAATCAAAACTTGAGTCATGGAGTGCCTTCTGCTCCAGGGCTGGTGGCAATCCCTGGAATTTCATTTATAAACTCAGCATCAACAAACTGAAAACTACAAATCTTATAAGTAGTGAAGATATTGATAACACTGCAGACGACCTCAAAACCACTGTGTGTAGACTTTTTGAAGCCTTCTATCCCTCTGACCCTATTGACAATGATATACCAGACCAAGTCTGAATTAGGAATATCGATCATTCTGAAAGGTTTTCGGGAGATGATCCACTTTTCTCCTACTTGGAAATTGATATTATTGCCACCTTGTCAAGGAGGAAAGCTGCGGGTCTGGATCAGATTAATGCTGACATCATTCGGGAGATCTGGGGTGCCTGGCCAGATCTTATTCTCGAAATTTTCAATACCTGCCTGCAGAAGGGCATCTTCCCTCATCCCTGGAAAAATGTCCAATTGATTATCATTCCTAAAAAGCACAGAAAGCCACTTACAGTTAGTAACATGTAAAACATCTTTCTTCTGTCGTCCTTAGGCAAAGTTTAGATAAACTTTTATTTAACAGGCTTTATTGGTTCTGGGAGTCTTGGAGACTTTACCATAGCACCCAGTATGGTTTTAGGAGGCAAAGAGGGATCATANAAAAAAAAAAAAAAAAAAAAAAAAAAAAAAAAAAAAAAAAAAAAAAAAAAACTGCCACGGAAGACATGCTTACATATATTGTAAGATATTGTAAAAATACTGTAAAAATAATATATGTACTGTAATTGTAATTTCAATTATTTAATGTTTTTCTATGTTAATTTAACTGGCTATGCAAAGCGGTGCCAGACATGTAATACTTCGGCATTACGTAAATAAAAGAGTTGTGTGTGTGTACCATCATCGTTACCTCCAACACCAAAAAGTATACAAGGAAAGGATTAAGCAATCAAAACTTGAGTCATGGAGGGCCTTCTGCTCCAGGGCTGTGGGCAATCCCTGGAATTTCATTTATAAACTCAGCATCAACAAACTGAAAACTACAAATCTTATAAGTAGTGAAGATATTGGTAACACCGCAGACGACAGTGCCGGACCGAGGCAAGTTTTAGGATGGAGCGAGATCCTATTATGGTGCCCCCTTGGTCAGTAGCGTAGCGAACATAACTGGCACTCAGGGCATGACACTTTATTGGCACCCCCCCAGAAACACATATAGTTTGTCTTGGAGATCATTTGGGCGCCCCTCTGCGAGTGGCACCCGGTGCTTGATACACTCCCTTGCACCCCCTCGCTACGCCACTGCCCTTGGTTGCCCCAAATTTATACCCTTTAATTTTCTTTACCACTGAGGCGCCCCCTAGGACTTAGCGCCTGGAGCGGCTGCTCCTTTCGCCCTATGGTAGGACCGGCTCTGGCAGACGACCTCAAAACCACTGTGTGTAGACTTTTTGAAGCCTTCTATCCCTCTGATCCTATTGACAATGATATACCAGACCAAGTCCGAATTAGGAATATTGATCACTCTGAAAGGCTTTCGGGAGATGATCCACTTTTCTCCTACTTGGGAAATTGATATTATTGCCACCTTGTCAAGGAGGAAAGCTGCGGGTTTGGATCAGATTAATGCTGACATCATTTGGGAGATCTGGGGTGCCTGGCCAGACCTTATTCTCGAAATTTTCAATACCTGCCTGCAGAAGGGCATCTTCCCTCATCCCTGGAAAAATGTCCAATTGATTATCATTCCTAAAAAGCGCAGAAAGCCACTTACAGTTAGTAACATGTGAAACATCTCTCTTCTGCCGTCCTTAGGCAAAGTGTTAGATAAACTTTTATTTAACAGGCTTTATTGGTTCTGGGAGTCTTGGAGACTTTACCATAGCACCCAGTATGGTTTTAGGAGGCAAAGAGGGATCATAGATGCCTTGATGGACCTCAAGACCCACATCAAAGATCTACTTTCTGAGCATGCCTATGTGTTTGGACTTAGCCTAGATTTAAAGAACGCATTTAACTCGGCATGGTGGCTGCAGATCCTAAACCGGCTGAGTGAAAATGGATGCCCGGAAAATTTATCAATTTAGTAAAGGACTACCTTAAAGATAGAGTGGTCACAATCAGAATAGGTAAACAGTCCTTCTCCAACCAACTCCAACGGGGATGCCCGCAGGGCTCTGTTTGTGGCCCATTATTTAGGACAATTTTGTTTGACAGCTTTCTCCAGCTTGAGTTTGGTTACCGATGCAGGGTCTTTGCCTATGCCGATGATGCCTTTCTTGTCTTTCCAGCCAATTCTAGGCGCACGATAGAGACTGCTGCCAACAATATTTTGACAAAAGTAGACGAATGGAGTGTCAGTAATAAGTTAATATTCAATGCAACAAAGACTAAAGGCATTGTTTTCACAGCTGCCTACTCATCAACAGATTTGTATTGATGTGTTCCATGTGAACGCTTCAGAGACTCTTCCATTAAAATAGAGGAACATGTCACTTTCCTTGGTGTGATCACTGATCACAGGCTAAGCTGGAAGAAACATATTATGCACGTAACTAACCGTTCCAACCTTGTTTTTAATAATCTGCTTCGAGTTGCCAGGAACAGATGGGGACTTGATAATGTAGCTGTCAATGACATCTATGACTGCGTGTTTTTGCCCACTATTTGTTATGCTTCTGCTGTATGGGGAGAGGCTGCCTTTCATTCCCATAATCATCAGCGTCTCAGAACAGCACAATGCCTGGCGCTTCTGGGCCTGACCAGATGTTATTCCGTGTCTAATGCTGGTCTTCCTGTGCTTGCCGGGAAACCCCCATCCTGCAGCAGATCCAGTACTGTACAGGCAAATTTCTTCTTTCCTGTGGTAAAAGTATTACCATTTCGGGCAACATGTATGGCGCTTCCTGTTATGAAATAAGTAGATCTTTCGCAGACCTCCCTCATCCTGCCCTCAGAAGGGGCCTTGGGACTCATGACTGTGAGACCAGCATCGAAGTTTTTACCGATGGCTCCAAGACTGCGCAAGGCACTGCAAGTGCTTTTGTTGTGTATGTCGGTAGTGAGGAATCTCATCATGACACCCTTCCCCTGCACCCGGAGTGCTCAGTGTTTCAAGCAGAAATGTTTGCCGTCTTTAAAGCAATAGAATTCTGTAATAAAATTTTCAACTGCAATATTACTATTTTCACTGACAGCCAGGCCATGGTTCAAGTCTTGACTAACAAAGATACCACTCACCCCCTTGCTAGGGACACTTTGTTCTCTGCAGATCAGTCCAGTAATAATTATCATATCAAATGGATTAAGGGGCACTGCGGCACTCCAGGTAACGAACGTGCAGACTTCCTTGCACATGTGGCTACCTCCTTCAGGGACATCAACCCAGTCTCCAGGTTAGAGGAGTAATGCAAAAACCTATGCAGACAGTAATGCAAAAACCTAGCATTCCATTCAAGTAGTTGTAGAACAAGTTGTCAGAGGAGCTGATTTAACCTGGAGACATTTACTGGTCTCCAGGTTAAATCAGCTCCTCTGGCAGCATACAATTGTAGTGTGGCAACAAGAATGAGAGCGTATCTCAAGCAGCACATTTTCCAGCAGTTCTTCCCCGATGTAGCAAGACGCCTCAGCTGGAAATGGATCCACCCTCCAAGTTCAATGTCTACTTACATCAGTTTCTACACAGCGACACTGACTGCTGTCCAAACTGCGATGTGCGTGATGGAGTAAGGCATTATCTTTTGTCTTGCCCACTGCTGGAGGACATAAGGAACGAGCTCAAACTTTACGTGGAAAAAGATAATCTCAATTGGCCGTGTAAGCTGGAAATTTTAGTGTCGAGTAAAAAGTACTTTTCCCTTTTTCAAAGGATGGTCAAGCTTTACTTTAACAGAACATTAATACATTGATAAAGGTTTCCCCCACTTTTCGTATCTTTGTATTGCTGAAGATCTTATAATATCCTTATGCCTATTGTACCGTGCATTTACTCTGTGTCTGTTACTGTACAAGGTCTGTACACTATTTTTGCCTTGGCATCCATGTTCGTGCATAGTTTCATTTGTTTTGTTCAGGTCTCCATCAATGTACTTTCATTGTGTGTCTATGTTGCACTAGCGTTGTGCAGGAACTGTATCCTCTCATACTGTACATATGCAAGCTTTTTGTTTTGACTAACCTTCACGCAAACTGCAATGTATTCGGTTTCATGATTTACCACATGACTCGGGACATCATGATTTTATATTTACATGTATTTTGTTTTCTTTTCTTTTACGCTCACTGTCGGTTTTCCTGCTTGGCATGTCACCTCTATGTACACCCTGTATATATTCATCCCGACTGTGCCTAGCAGTGTCAGGCGTAATAAAGTTTATTTTGTCTGTCTGTCTGTAAAATTTAACCATTAAATGGATTATTTGTTGAAAGATCATTCAAAGTAGCCATGAAAAAAATTAGAATGCTTGCGCAGAGATAAAAAAGAACACACCCTTTATTACATTTCATGTTGTACGAGGGTTTTACCCCCAATTCCCGAACTGTGTTAGAGTGAACCCGTGCTATAAAAGCACCGTGTTATATAGGGATGTTCCCAATTCTCAAACCGTGTTAGAGTGAATCCCTGCTATAGAAGTGCCATGTTATACAGGGTTACCTGTATATATATTAGACTACAGAGACAGTAATGCAAAAACCTAGCATTCCATACAACTGGAATAAAAAATTGATGTCATATAAAGCAAGTAGTCAAAGTATGAGAGTTGTAAAGATCAAGTAGTTGTAGAGCAAGTTGTCAGAGGAATTATATAACCCTCTACTTTATGACTATTCATTCTACAATATTCTGATAGTTCTGCAAAAGGATGAATCAAAATCTTCAGTTATAAATAACTTTTTCTATCAAATTTCATTATTTAAACAGGATTTTGAATCAATTTTTCATAATAATAATAATGTATTGGCATTATTATTATAAACAATTACTATATATATAACTATTGAATAATTGTAATTACAGAAAAATTTATCTAATTTAAAAATTTAATAATTTTGAAAAAGAAATATTACCATAATAAAATTTAAATATATTTTATATCTATTTACAACTAACCTGATTTAATTCAAGTGGTTTTCCAAGTCTCTGCTGTTCTTTTAACTTAGAAATTTGATCTAATTTCTACAAAAAAATTTTATATTTAAAATATTTATAAATTATTTAAATAAAAATTAAATAATCATTACAAGTTTTCTGTCTATGTACAAACTAACAACTTTACAACAATAAATATAGTCTGGTTATGTTTAATCTTCAAATGTAAGTACTGTATTTAGTGTAATAAACAGCACACTAGAAGAGTTGCATGTGACTAACAAGTTTGTGAACCACGTGCAACTCTTCTATACCCTTATTGCAGCTCCCATATATTTATACAATTTTTTTTATAAACTTGGTACATACTTATGCATAAGTAATATTTTTGTAAGTTTGCTGACTATCATGTAATGTGATATACACAAGAATTGTAAATGAAACTTAAAAGAATTCAAATCAGCTTTGACACAAAATCCTTTATCACAGAACACTGACATCTAATTGCATAGCCACTCATCCAACTTCATCTTAAAATGTATGGATAGTGTAATCAGTAATATACATGGCTTGGCCAGTAAATATTTGGAATGATTCTATTTCAAATAAATGCAGCAACATTGCTCAAACTGTATGACACCTTCTAGTATAAGAAGTATAAACTTCCTATAGTAATTTCTCATTTTGTTATTGAAGATGGCATCCAAATTGTTAACAGCTGGTCAAGAATAGTGAATTTTGATAAGTTTCTCATCAAGGAAAGTTCCAGCAACATGAAAAGTCATCAGTCTTTTGACATTGTTTGGAAATACCACTGTAGCCTGGATGTATGCATTTGAATGGTAGAGTAGCTTCTGCAGTGGCCACAAAGACATTGAAAATAATCTCTGACCAGACCAATCTATAAATAGCATCACTAATATTGATTTTGAATGATAACTGAGTAATGATAAATAAAGTGCATTCGCTACTGATATCAATAAAAATTCTGTGGACATTCATTTACCATGTGTAAGAAAAGATGTCTTGCAAAATAATACAAAGTCACATAAAATGCAAGTTTTTGTCAAATGGACTGGGAAGTATTGTCTCATCCTTTCTGCAGTCCAGACTTGTCAGCAACAAACATCTATCATCTGTTTGGCCCCATAAAGAAATATCTTAATAGAGAAAGTTTGCAGATGATGAGGTGATTGTTGCAGTTCTTCAATGGATCAACCAAATGAATTATACACTGGTGGAATACAAAAACTAAAGGACTAATTAAAAAAAATTCTTTGAAGTGGTAAGGAATTATACTGGAAAATAGTGTTTGCAATTTCTTTCTACTGTATATATATTTGAAAAGCAATAAAATCAATCTGAACATTTACTGGACCAACCTCTGTCTAGTATACACCAGTTACAAATTCTAATCTAAGCTGTTTCTTTTCCAGATTCTTCAAAATTAATTACAACTACTAATATAATAAATTACATGACAATTTTTATAATAAAAATGTATAACTAAAGCCTACTACTAAAAAACTAATTTATTATTATAATTAAATCAATTACATAAAGGATATTAGGCTGCAATTTGAAAAAATTGTAGACATGTAAATTCCCACTGTTGTCCATCTGTCTCTGTCTTTCCTTAATCTTGAGAGTTACATAGACAAAAGACAAGACCAGATATGTTCTTGTAAACGATTGTATGATACATGAACTTGACCGATTGTATGATACATGAACTTCTAACGTAAATTGAAACATGTTATTTCAATTCAAAACTTTTCTCCCAAAAGGAGTTAATAGATGACCAGTATGACTCTATCATTAAAGGAAAAGTATGATGTACAGGGCAAAATACCACAGTAATAATTTGAGGTGGAGAGCATATATTTTAAATTAAATAAATTAAAAATATGATTAAAAATTGCAATCAGCATTGTGACAATGTTACAAATAATTGCCTATTTGTTATTAATATTGTTTGTCAATTTTTTATAAAAATTATGAAATTTGTACAATAATTTGTACAAAATAACAGAAATATTGCAATAATAAATAATTCTGCTTCTGCTAGAAAATTTCTATTTGAACTAAGTTCAGAACTCTACAGTAAATAAAAACCAAACAATTGACTCTAGAATTCACCCCAATGAATATTATCCATATTATAATTTTTTCTGAATTTATTTTAATACTTATTATACTCTGTTCTAGCAATTTTCTGCTGGATATATGCTGTCACTGGTTAACTGCATGCAAGTATTATAGACCATAAATTTAAGCAGAATTTTGTTTTACACAGTACCTCTTGACATGAGACTCCCATATAAAACAAGACCATACTATATTTATTTTTGACAGCATTATTGTATATTTTTAAATGTTATCTTAATGAGATTTGATAAATAAAAAAAAAAACCTTTGTAAGATTCTTGATCTTTTTATTTTTTTCTGGATCCTCACTAAATACATTTTCAATGGAAGGATGAATTATGCTGTCGGCTACTTTTTCTTCTTTTTCATCGTCATCAACAGTTTCTCCCTAAACAAAATATTTTACAAAAATTTTGATGAAGTATCAATATTTATTCCAGTTTAACGCTACCAGAATACAGTGGGTGATCAGTTAATGAACAGATCGGATAACGAACACCTTCACAAAAGACTTTTATGTTCGGACAACAAACACCCCACAAACACAAGAAGTGACGTAAAATAATGAATACCGATTGTCTTCGGGCAACAATTCGAAACTTTTCAGAGCATGGGAGACGTCAACATCGACACTCAAGCCAGTATATACCGATCAGATAGTATTCCTCCGAACTTTGAAACTCTCCCTTGTAATTCCAGCCTTTTATTTTTCTGACAAAACAATTCTTTTATGTATTCGCGAGACTGTCGAGTAGGCACTCATTAAGTTTTGCGTCTGTTTTTCTTTTCGAAAAGTGAGTGTATAATAGCAAAGGTAGAGAGAGAGAGTAGGCAGAAGATGTCTAATGTCATTGGGCAGTATGGTGTGAACAGGTCTACAGTATGCCACAGTTCAATCTTATTTAAGGAAAATACCATATAATCAAGAAGACTCAAGCAGCTAAAGGTGTAACAAAAATCACATCTGAGAAATAAAGAACATTGAAGAGTTCATAATAAAACCTGAAATGGATCTGACGACAGAAGAACGCCAAGAACTCTCGAATGAAGAACACCAAGAAACTCAGCAAGATACGTTTTCTTCTGAAAAAGAGGATTAATGCCAATATCTGTTATTAAAGATCCTTTGAAGAAGTAGGAAGATGTCAGAACAACAGTCTTAGAATGGCATCCAAACCAAGTTGAGGCTTGAGATTTCTACAATTGCAATTAATTACTAAAAATCCTGAAGAAGAGAGAAAAGCAATCAACATTAGACAGATTCTTTAACCCTTTCAAATGGAAAAAGCATGACTAATAAAAATGCAAGACTGTGTATGTATGTATTTTTATTATTACATATAAATAAACATAGTNCTACAATTGCAATTAATTACTAAAAATCCTGAAGAAGAGAGAAAAGCAATCAACATTAGACAGATTCTTTAACCCTTTCAAATGGAAAAAGCATGACTAATAAAAATGCAAGACTGTGTATGTATGTATTTTTATTATTACATATAAATAAACATAGTAAGAAAGTATATATTTTTTTTATTTTTGGAGGTCTCCAAAACGAATTAATTAAATTCCCATTAAAACCTATGGTAAATTGATAATCGGTTAACAAACAATTCAGATAGCAAACAAAGTCTTGGAACAGATTAAGATCGTTAACCGATCACCCAGTGTATTTAATGTTTCTCTTACATATATTTTATAAAATGATTATAAAGTTATTTCACTCTGAACTTCTCCACAGCCTATATATTAATATTCTTTGCCATTCACAATGGATATATTTATAGTAAAGCTTTCACATAGCGTATATTTATTTAAAAAAATGAGTTCTCATACCTTTTCTTGTTCTTTCTTTGCTTTTTTAGCTTGCTTCTTTTTCTTGTTTTTTAGAGCAGATTTTGATAAACCTAAAGATATTAATAATATAATACAATGTAATATTTTCAAATAACCATACANACTTATATATATATATATATATATATTTCCGGTCTGTAATAAAATTATATACAGATATATATAATTTCATTACAGACAGAATTCTTTCTCTGCAAATTAATTTTTCTCTGATATTAAATAAATATAGAGATGATATAGTACTTTAAAACAGTTTGATACATAGCTACAGTCACTAAACTGTGACTCTTCTTCCCATATAGTTATACATTTCTTAGTATAGCTATAAAATTCTTTTGTATAAACTTGAGACATGATATTTACATGTATGTAATATTGTGTAATTATACAAGAACCTCAATAAGGGTCAAAAAGAGCTGCATGAAGTTCACAAGCTGAAGTTTGGCCACCATGGTTATCTATACAGTCGACCCCCCTATAAGATATAGATACGTTCCAATTTATTAGGAATCCGATTTCTTACAAGTCGTTCCAATCACAGCCCGACACGTGTCAAGTTTACGGACTACGGCTGATTGAAAGGTTTTCTTCCATAAAATTAATCGATTCTACACTAATCCGACTCAACATTTCCAAAATACGTATATTTTTTCGTAGTTTTATAGGAATCGTAATTATAGGGACCGTAATTATAGGGGGGGGGTCGATTGTATCTACATATACATATACTAGCTGTTACTCACAGCTTCGCTCGTGTGGATTTTGCAAGCAAACCCTATTTACATTCAATATTTCAACAACCATAGTTATTGAAATAACAATTGTTATTTAACACCTACTACTGAGAATGATGAGAATTGCTTAGAATCAAATGAACTGTTTTTAATTTGATAAATTTTCTGGAATGTTTACAATCATTCTATAATCGAACCAATATGCAAAAAGAAATTTGAATTTAAAATGGTTTGACCATTTGGTTAAAAAATTGAAATACATAAAAATATTATAACAACGTCTGAAATGTTATCAATTTCGTTATTTATTTTGTTATCAATTATCATTATCAATACCCCTAAGTACTCAATGAAGACTAAACATAATTAAAAAAAAAAATTGCATCTAAAATAGTACAGCAGAAGCCGTTCTTCTGGTTAAGCCTTAATGCTCTCCCTCAACTCCCCGTAGGGGAATTTCGAAAAAAACCCTTCTTAGTGTGCATTTTCATGATGTACCCTAACTATACCAAATTTCACTTCTAGGTTCTGGAACTTTCTAGAAAAAACTGGAACATTCTCATTGAAGTGTCACACATTTTCAAAGTCAACCATGTTCAAACCCCATATCTCCCACACCCTTATAGCAATCGAGACACAACCACCATAGTGCATGATGAGAGACTCGGGGCTATTACCATTTATATATATATATAGATATATATAAAAATGGATGTGTTTGTGCCTATACGTCACTCTGCAGCCAAAACTACACATTGCCCATGAATGGTGTTTGTGTGTGGTGGTAGTAGCCCCAAGTCTCCCATCCTGCACTATGGTGGTTGCGTCTCGATAGCTATAAGGGTGTGGGAGATATGGGGTTTGAAAGTGGTTGACTTCGAAAATGTGTGACACTTCAATGAGAATGTTCCATAACCTAGAGGTGAAATTTGGTACACAGTTAGGGTACGTCATGAAAACTCATACTAAGAAAGGATTTTTTAAAATTTCCCTGCGGGGGGAGAGCATTAAGGCTTAACCTGAAGAAAGGCTTCTACTGTACTATTTTTAGATACAATTTTTTTATTTTTAATTACGTTTAGTCTTCATCGAGTACTTAGGGGTATTAAATTGATAACATTTCAGACATTGTTATAAATATTTTTTTATATATTTTGATTTTTTAACCAAATGTTCGAACTGTTTTAAATTCAATTTTTTTTTGGATATTGGTTCGATTATACAATGATTGTAAACGTTCTAGAAAATTTATCAAATCAAAAACAGTTTGTTTGATTCTCAGCAATTCTCATCATTCTCAGTGGTAGGTGTTATATAACAATTACTATGGTTGTTGAAATACTGAATGTAAATGGTGTTTGCTTGCAAAATCCATGCGAGCAAAGCCGCAGGTAACAGCTAGTATAGTATAAAAATAGATAAAAGAGCAGTGCCTTAATTGCAGTAACAATAGAACAATGCCAAAGTAATGACAGCAGTATTGTTCATTTTTGCTTAATTTCAAAAATATATATTTAAAAGTTTAATATCAATAATTTAAATTATTCTAAAAAATAAATGTATTGTAAAATATGAAAACTCAAATGTCTTAAAGATTTCTTATGAAACGTTACTAGTTTAAAATAAAGTTTTACATGACTTACTCTAAGGAGATGGATTTATGGGATGTGAAAGTATTTAATTTCAGCTTCAAATAATTTAGTTTTTATACAAAATATTACATAATGCAATTATCAGAAAATTTTAATTATAAGATAATGTTTTTCAATCATTCATCAATACAGACTAAAAATAAATAGTATAAACTACGATAATTTTAATTATTACCTTCAATTGGAATATTAATTTTGGGCTTTAAATCTGAGGGAGGTTCATAATCTTCACGCAACTTAATAGTGGAAGGTTGACCCCTGGCAGCTGGAGGTCGATACACTTGTTTTGAAGCTATAAATCCATATTAATAATAAAATTTCTGCACTGAATTAAAATCATTATTAAAAAAATGTATAATAATATTTTGTAAGATATGTAAAATTACTAACCTTCAGGCTGTGATGATTGTATACCATGAATAGGTTGTAGAGAAAGAGTTTTCTTTGGGAAAGTACCAGGAGGAAACGGTTGCCAACATAAATCCCACATTTCTGAACCAATATCGCACATTAATTCATGTAATAAACTCCCAGTATAGTGCCATATTTTATACCTACAAATATTTTTAATTATTAAAAGAATTATGATTTTAATCAGTAATAATAAGTAAAATAAAATAATGTCTTGACAAACTCTGCAAATATGAGTAAGTTTATTAATACATTGCCCTCATTTGCTGAGTGGCGCTTTGATGTCTCATTTTAAATATAGTACAGTAGAGTCCTGAAAACGCGGCCTAATGTGGACCGAAGGGTGACTGACTTTGTGAAAATGCCAGGTTATCGGGAATGGGGTTAAAAAAGAATAAGTAAAAGTGTTTCCTCAGAAAATATTGTACAGTACTTGTATGTATTGTTTGCTTAAGAATACAACAGAGAACAAACTGCCCAAATACTCTTAAACAAAGGAAAAGTACTGTACATACTTTATGAAGGCCAGAGCCTTTATTACATGAAAATGAAAATTAATGAATACACAGTGCACAGTAATTTACCTGATAAGACAGACCTAAAAAAAACACTTTATGAGGTATAAAGCTGTCTATAATGAAAATTAACTAGCCGACTTTGCAAAAACTGGCTACATTTTTTTTTAAAGAAATGCATAATGTCCTGTTGTCTTCCACAATGCACTCTGCGTTTTGCTGCTTCATCACGAAGACGATTAAGGAACAGTAAGTCTATTACCGATGCACCTTGTTGTTCAAAATACCAAAGAGTGGTTTCAACAGCCTTTAGTCCCTCACTATGTGATATTTTAGGAGCTTGTATGATGGAGTCCTCAACATTAACGTCTTCAACATTTTCTGGCATTTTTTCATTAACTGTGACAGCAGCAATAATTTCTGCATCGGACATAATGTCTTGCTTGGGATCGTTCTGAAACCACTGTTTGACATCATTTTCATCGACTTCTGCACATCCAGGAACTCTTTTCAGGAGGTCAAGTAAGTTTACTTTTTTTGCATTATCATGTTCAATGAACTCATTTCCCTCATAATCAAGGAGTTTTCACCAGGAACAAACTAGTGTTAATGACTAACTTGTTCCAGGCATCCACCACCCAGCCAACAACATCCAATAGGTTAATTTTCTTTAAGTTCTGGATAAGACCTTGACTATCATCGTTTGCAAAAAGAAGGGAAGATAACAGCTTGTGCCCAGTTATCTAGACTGCCAGGTCATCGAGTGCCGAGTTTTTGGGACTCTACTGTATTGCATTTAATTAACTGGACTAGATAAAATAATATATTATTGATATATAACTTTGGGCAGTCATTTCATTTAGTAGTGCAAGCTTTATTTAAAAACTTTTACAAATATTTAAATCAAGTCTTCTAAACAAGAATGCTATCATTTTAATTTTATCCTAATTATGTTACTTATTATCCAAGAATGTTTTAATGTACATTAAAACATTGCAAAACTGTCCAAGATTTGCATTTACCCATTACAATTTCTCAATGCACCTCTCTCATATGGCATACATCAACTGACATCAAGTGTATGAAGAATTTGAGTATGTCATATCTGTTGTTACTTCTCCCAGAGTAGCAACAATTCTAAAGCTCCTGCAGACTATTTATGTTGCACAGTGATGAGTGATTCCAACTTCGCAAACTCAGAACACAAAATACTTTCCCTGTTGCAAAGTCACCATTTTTGTTTACAGTGCTTCCTAGAGGTAGTAGCCAACGAGACATTTGAATGCAGAATGGTTACTTTATCAATTGGCACATTTTGCATACCTGTCAGATATTAACATAACTACAGTAATTTAAAATGGTAGCATTAATTTTGGAAGGCCCTGTGTTTATCAAAGCAACAAAAACAAAGCAAATTATAGATTTTAGCAAAATTACAATGATAAAGTACATAATGTTTAATTTTAATAATTTTATAAAACTGTAAAGTCTTTTTTATGAGAAAATTAATAAAAATTCATTAGATAAAATTCATTAAAATAAGCAATTTGAAACGATAAAGTTTTATACCCATTTCCGATTCTTATTCGAGGAGATACTGTTCCAGTCATTATGTGCTCGCCATCAGGACACCAGGATAAAAAAGTAGTATCACTTGCACTTATTGTGACAATTTTCTGACCAGCTCGACTCCAAACTTCCACATTTCCTCTCAAATTGCCAAAACCGGCAAGAATTAGCAGTGAACATTAACATTAAAGAAAATAGCTTATAAGCATTTTTCTAAGTACAGAAAATTATTTAAATTAAAAATTAATATATGAAAAAATTCACTGTACATTTTAAATTATTCTATTCACTTAATTGGAAATATAAGACTTAAACAGATCATCTGATTTACTTAACCAAAATTGAAATAAGGGATATGAGAGTAGGAACTTTAATACTGTGTCTAGGCTTATAAAAGACACCCAAAGGGAAATAGCAAAATACTGATTATGCAGTATATTTGAGTGTACCCTGAGTTATCTGTAAGCAAAACATTTCCTAAAACATTTGCACAGTAGAAGACATTGAAAAGCAGTTGATTCAAATCATGTTGTCAAAGTTGGAGCAGTATTGTTGGCTGAAAATTGGAACTGAAAAGGGTCATACCTCAAGAAAGTGCTGTTAAGGACTTGTAAAAGCTTGCATAGATGCAATGTTATTGTACAATACAGTTAAGATGAGTGTTTCAAAAGGGACATTAGAATGTCTGTGACCAATGTCAACTTGGCCATTATCAGGGGATGGAAGACAAATTGCATTGACAAAGGTCTGAAGATAGATAGCTTGCACAAGAGGTAAATCTGACACAGGACTGACCTCTACATTCTGATGACACTACAAATGTGGAAAATTGCATCTTGCTGGCTATCATATTGTCTCGGTGACATCCAGAATGACAACATTATGACTGCTTGTGCCCATTTGGAATGATTTCAATGTGAAAGGGAAGCATTTTTAGAGGCATTATTACCCTCAATGAAACATGGATTTGCCCAACTGACACAACAGAGCAATGAGTGGTAACATTATAGCTCTCCCCAACAGATAAAATTATGACAGAATCCCAGTAATATAAAGGCAATTATCACTGTTGTGAATGAGTGTGCTGGTGCTATCCTAATGCATGCAGTATCCAAAAGACAATCTGTATATGCCCAATACTATGCCCACTAGGGATTGTAAATTTACCGACTTTTTCATTTACCGGTAATTCAGTAAATGAAAATTAAAATACCAGTTTACCGGTAAATTTTTTCCTGAAAAATAAAATTAAGGTGATAAAAAATATAAGTAATTTTGATTTCCATTTCACATTTTCTATTTCAAAGGTATAGAATATAAAAAATATAAAAATTAAAGTGTTATTCTAAACAAACTATAATAATAACTTTTAGAAACATAAATAAAATAATACAGAAAAATAAAAATAAAACAGAAATAATATATAGTACCTAATACCATTTTACTGATTACCATTTTTTAAAAAATAACTTCTCAAGAAACTTAAATTATTTAAAGTCTTATCTCCTAATTTTGATCTAATTTTTGTACAAAATAATCCGGGTTAGGTTAAGTTTCTAGACTTTTTCGGACATCATCTTTAAGTAATAAAAATCTTTCCAGCATGTTTAGTAAGCTATTCCACCGGGTTCTACAATCTAAAATTAAAGAAAGTTCTTTTCGTGAGAGTAATGGGGATTCCCCACGAAAATAAGGTTAGAATAATACATATTTTGCACAATCGTAAGGCATAATGTTAGAATCTTGTAATAAATATTTGTATTTAATTATTTTAAACAGTTGTTAGAAGTAAAAAATTTATTTAAGGTACAAATTTTAATGTTATTTTGCAATAATATTGCTTTAATGTCCTGTCATAATGTGGTGTATTCAAAATTGCTATTAATTTAAAAAGTACGTGAAATATTTACGTATTATTATTTTTAAATATTAAAAAAAAGATATTTACTTAATCTTTAAGAAAAACGTTGATTGTAAAGATTTTAAACCTTTAAAAATCTCAAAAAACGGCAGAGCACAAATCACATATGCTAACTAGAGCTTTCTGTACAATTTACAGTGCCTCTCAAACCCAAGAAAGTTTAAATTAAAATTAAACAAAAAATATCTCACATAAAATTAATAATTAGGTATATTGTTGCTTACACTTATCTTTTTTTTTTTTTTTTTTTCAATGTCCCTTTAGCCCTTTTAAATATCTATAAACACAATATTTTCTACATAAAAATTTCTAGTATGAATTTTTCATTTACCGAATTACCGGTAAATTTCAAAAATTTACCGGTAAGTTTACCGAATGTTTTTTTGTCAATTTATCGGTTAACCGGTAAATCGGTAAACTGGTATACAATCCCTAATGCCCACACTTCTTGGCACACATAACAAAAGCAGCAGGGTCACTTTGTCTTTCTGAGCAATATACCCACCATTTTGCACAATAACATTCACTGCCATGATGTGGCTGCAGATGTCAATTACCTTTTCTCTCAGTGGGGCAAAAAGTAGTCACAGATTTAAGTCAGGTAGATAGTCACCTGACTTAAATCTGTGACTAATTGTTTCCAAAGATGAAGGAATCTCTCCAAGACAAGTAGTTCAAAATGATCCAAGACATACTACATGTCATCAATTGCTCCATTTGGACCATTAATTCATGAGAGTCAGTTGTCAGCATCATTTAACTTCCACATCAATGGTAACAGGTAGTTAACTTTGCTGGTGACTAAAAGCTCGTGAACTGCTTGTGTATTTATTCTAAATAATATAAACAACAGATATAGTCTATCTGCTGTGCAGGCATCAAGAAGTTTGTTTTATGCCATGAATCAATAAGGTCTATAATGTGAGAGCCAGAACAATAAGAACAGAACTTGAAATATCTAAGTTAAAACCACAATTTTCAATTCAATTTAACAAACTTTATTAAAACATTGAAATGTATGTACCTACAGTAAGTACAAACATTTCAATATACAATACATACATACCTAAGTACATGTGTTTCAATAAAGATGAAATGAAATTATTTATGATTTAATTAATAATATTTTTAGGTCATTAACTTTATTTAAAAGTTGTTATAATTTTTAAAGCAATTAAAAATAAAAAAAAAGTTAGCACAAGGTAGGATCGAACCTAGATCGCCCGTGTGGCAAGCAAGTTTGCTACAAAATCAGCTATTTTGCTGTGCTGCCATAGTGTAAAATCAACCAATATATGAGCTGTGCTTAAAACTTTAAAGCCCTTTTTTTCAGAATCTTCTGGCTAGTATGCTTTACAATTTTTCTGTGTGGACACCCTTGAGGTATACTACTAACCTGTGAAGTCTCATCCCGAACTGAATTTCTGAGACTGTAAGGTCCCCTTGTAAGCACTAGATCAACGATAACATATAAAAATCTTCAAGACTTACATGTCAAGAAGGTATCAATGAGTTCTGCATTCCTGTCAAAACAGGGAGGAGGAAATTTATGTGGATTTATGCTGCCACACATCTAAATATTTAAAAACAGGCAATCAGTGCAACTGGTGATGAAATATGAATCTATCAATATAACTTGGACATAAAGTGATAATTTGCAGTATGAGTATTTCTGAATGAGCCATCATCCTCCAGAAGTGCCGATTGCCAAATGCTGACCACATTCTTTGGCAAAAATGGTCATATTGCAACTGTATATGCTTAGAGAATCAAAAGGCTCACTGATGCTGATTGGTGTTACCATTTTTCTATCATGAGTTTAGGATCATCTGCTTTACCATGACAATGCCTTAGCACACATGATAATAAGGACAATGGATTATCTGGCTGAATTAAACATTCAACTAGTAACCCATTCATCATATCAACCAGATCTGACACCTAGTGACTACAATCTATTTCCAATTGATTTACAATCTATTTACAATCTATTGATGAAGCAATTCCAGAAGTTGTGGAATTGCTTCATCAACCTTTCCTGAGTGCAGAAGAGTATATCTTCTGTCTAGAGAGAGAGAGAGAGAGCACATTAAGAGAGAGAGAGAATATTAAAAGAAAGAAAGAGAGAGAGAATATCAGAGGCATGATTGTTTCACAGTTGGTTTGAGAGGATGAAATGCTACAAATAGAATGTGGCAAGGAGTACTTTACGATATTAATAGACATAATTTAGATATAATGAACAGTTTGCACATCTGACTTTCATCATTGTCCATATATAAACAATATGCTAAATACTCCATTACAGCAAGATATATCATACAAAATTATTACATATTTTTTTATATATCACTGCTGCAAACATTTTTTCCCCCTTCATTTTTACTCTCCACTCTGTGGGCACAAAGAGGGTCTTTTCTCTCTACCAGTCATGGATTTGGGGAACCATTGCAGGCCTGCCCACAATGAAGGTGAACTGGGTGGTGCCAAAAGGGGCTTGATATCTCGATACATTCAGGATGGACCACTTGTGAAAAATTCATGAAAAGTTGTCACCCAGATCATATGCTTTACTTTAGAAAGTTAATTATTCTTAAAACTAATCTCAATCATTTTTGATTTTATTTATTATACATAATTAGACAAAAAAAAAGGATATTATGTCCATGTGGATTATAATAAACGGCATTTCTAGGTCCAGTACCAAAATCATAAACTGGTTCACATTTCTTATTGAATATTGTAGCTTTTGCTGGCATAGCTAATATTCTGTTAAGGAATATTATCTAAAACTTAATTTTTTTAAATCTAATTAATTAGTACTGAATACAAATTACATATAACAAAAATTCTATACACCTTAAAACTTCCATAAATATTCAATTAACAAACGTTTTCCAACACTTTAAAAAGTTAAATTCATCTAATCTCAACAGTAAGAAAATTTATGCTACTTTTAAGGTATATAGAAGTTTTATTATGATTTTAGTACCAGTTTACACTGTTATAATTATAAATCATGTATACAGTTGACTCCAAATAATTCAAATTCTGATAAGTTGAATTTCTCACTAAGTCACATTTCATTCTGGTCTGGACACAATTTCCATAAATTCATTATATGGTATATTTCTGTCTACTTGGAATCAAGAGTTATATCATGCGTAATTTTGCATACTTTTAGCTATATTTTTAAGGAAAATGAAGACAATTACTGTGTATTTGCACAGATAAGATGACCTTCAGATAAGATGAGGTATAAATTTTCGTCAAAGTTTTATAGTTTTAGCATATATCTGTCCTATAAGACAACCCCAAACTATCAACGGCCTATGAATTTAGTTTAGATCAGCGATCATCATCTGGATAATAACACTGTATAGCGTATACAGAATTATGTCCTATTCGTAATTTTTTGAAAAAACTTCAAATTTTATTTTCTTGCATCTGGCAGCACTGCCTTGCAATTGTTGCAAACATTCATACTGATTCGGACATTCACGTAATGACCTTGACTAATCACAAAAATGTCATATGGGCTATTCTATTTTGTGGCCATACCCTACTCTCTACTAGTAAATAATTACTGTTTTTCCATTTTTTTTGTAAGAATTTTAATTTATATAAATTTCAATCTAATTTTTTTTTGTATCTGTCCTATAAGACAACCCTGGATTTTGGGGGTCTTTTTTTATGATTCAACTATTGTCTTATCTGCGCAGATATACGGTATGTATACCTGAAAACATATTCCATACACCATCAAAAAAGAAATAATGGATGTCAACATTAAACTCATTTAACATATTTCTCATTAATGCTACAAATATTTCATTTTCTTTATGTATTTATGTTTGGTCAGTTTATTAGGAGTTGAGAATATCTCAACTTTTGGTGAATGCTTATTCATTCGACCAATCAACTTCTAACAACTGGTGTTTAAAATCTCTTTAACTAATTACATCCTAACTTAATTTGTATTATAGAGTATGGTACAGATAATATTTCATTTCATTAGTTCATAGTGGGTCATATGACAATGTAAACTTAACAATCATTCCTAAAGAATTATTCCAATTTTAAATAAACACTTTGAAATTTTTAGCATTATTTCATAATATTCAAATACTTAAGAAATATTTCAAATGGTTCATCTAAAAATGACATAACAGCAATGCATGTCTTTTTTGTACCATATAAACAAATTCCAAAGAATTAAAAACAAATTTTGATTAATTGATATAAAAAACTTCTTAATTATAAAAATAAATAAATATTTATATTTAAACATAAAGGATACATCCATAAACGACACAAAATTCATTACTTAATGGACTCCATTCTATTGAGTATATAGGTCCATCTTTCACTAGAAAATAATTTAATTTCAGGTATGATTTATTAAAGAGCACAAAAAAATATTAATTACATTAAATATATATATGTAATTCAAACATAAATCATTTATTGTATTTATACAGACACTTGGCAAATCACAGAATTAAATTTTATTCAGTTGAATAAAACATCACATTTATATTATCTTACAAGAGAAGGTCACAATGTTCTCATCACAGTTTTCAATGATACAATGCTCAATAAAACTTTTATTGAGCAAAGAAAAAAACATGCTTCTCAAACGTTTTCAAAAATATCACAGCTAGGAAATTGGATGATTTATGAATGTGTCTTGTGAAATTTTTCAGTGAATATTCTGTATCTTGATACCAGCATTCCTAAATGATAATCACTACATTACTGGTTTGTGTTTCTATGAGTAAACTTTTTTAAATCAGTGTAATTTTTATATTAACTACACAGGTAAACTACACAGGTTTATTGGGCTGCAATTTGAAAAAAACTGTAGACCAATAAATTCCCACTGTCATCCATCTAATCTGTCCTTCCTTAATCTCAAGAATGGAGTTAGATAGATGAAAGCCGAGACTAGATATGAAAAGCTTAGTGGCAGGAGGTCCTGATTAACTATATACAAATTTTTATGTAAGTTTGTATTTACAAATTTTTGCATTATTTCATTGCAAAAACTTCCCCCTGAAAAAATTTAGATGACCGACACGACTCTATTGCTAACAGGAAAAGTATAACATATGGGGGCAATACACTACTAATTTGAGTTGGAGAGCATATATTTTAAATTAAATAAATTAAAAATATGATTAAAAATTGCAGCCTGGATCTATGATGACATGACAATAAATAATTGTCTATTTGTTTTTAATGTCTTTGAAGACTTACAAAGACATTTTCAAAAGCTTTTTGAAAAAATTTAATACATCATCCAGATGTATGTATATATATATATATATATATATACATACATACTTTGTATATATATATATATATATATATATATATATAAAAATAAAAAAATGAGTGCCGTTATGGCCGTGGGCGAAGGAGTCGTCCCCAGTCAGTAATGTATTTAACCAAGTAAGGTTATATCTAAATCTAATATACTTCTGGAAGCGAAGACTAGCTCGAGGGTCTGGGTAGCGTAACTGGTAAGCGCGCCGCACGGCAAGCGGAGGCTGCGGGTTCGAGTCCCGCCCTGGGCCAGTTCTTTTATTCCAGAAGATTCTAAATTTATTTATTGATTTATTTATTTAATTATTAATTTACTTAAGAGATGGCGCCTAACGTCTACCTCTAGTGTCAAAATTACTTTATTCCAATCATTTAATTAGCCGTATTATAGCCCGATATTTAGGCAATCGTTTGGTGATGTAATCATCCAGATGTTTGGAATATATAAGAATTGGAATCTAATAACATGTTAAAGTTTTAATGAGGTCCACATACTTTTGTCGACAACTAAAAGGCAAAACTGTTACTAAAATATCACACTACAGTATTATATAATCAAATTTACAATAATAGATTCATTGCCTAGTAAAGTAGCTTTAATAAGACTGGATAAGCAAGCCAATGATACGAACTGTCATTGGCTTGCTTATCCAGCTGTATTAAAACCATTTTACTATTAAATGTGCCAAATACTTAAATGAAAAAATTCTTACATAATTTAATCATAGATGAATCACCATTCGTTGACATAAAATACAAAGCTTGTTCTCCATAGTAAGAAGCTCCAGATTTATCCACATCAGTACTTGCCATTACTACTATGCTATCACCTATAAAGCATTTTGAAATAAATATATTTTTAAAACAATTTCAAGTAATATAAATGACAGGTATAAAATTAATTTTTCTTATGTACTTTTATTTGATGATCTGTTTTAACCAGCTATTAATATATAATGGATTAAACATATTTTACAGTTGACATAACCATTTTAGATTAATCATCTATTTTCTTTTTGATAAATGTTTTCTGTCTTTTTTATAATTTTATTTAAAAAAAATTATATAATATAGTTGTCAAAAATAGAAAAAATAACACACAGACGACATATTCTAAATGCCAATCTTTAAAAATTCAAACTATACTTTAAAAAAACAAACATAGTGATCAATAGGATGACTATCATGCCAAAATATTGTATAATAAAATAAAATGGAGAAGACACTGTAACACTGACCTCAGTGTCTTCTCCATTTTATTTTATTATAAACATACTTTCAAGTGACACAACAGCAGCCAATATTTTTAAAACAATTTACTAAATTTAAAATTATCTTTCTATTGATACTTTATTTTTCATAATTTAAGTTTGAGATTTCTTACTACAGTGCAGACTTGTTTTATGGGTGTGTCAGCAAGTACTGCATAAAACAAAATTCCACATAAATTTATGTTCCCCAAGGCAATCACTAAACAATTATATAATCATTTACAATTAACAAATGAGTATTTTAATGTTTTTACTTATGTTTTACTATAATGAACAACATTTTAGTCCAACCTTTCTAAATATACATAGCAGAATTTCATTATAACATACTCAGTACACCACTCAAAAAATACATTCAAACCGGGGTATTTACTATTCTATCCAATAATTATGCACGTTAAAGCATGTATAACACATAATATTGACAACCTGTGTGCAATGTCCATTATTAAAACTTCTACAATTGAAAATATTAAACAGTTACTAACCATAAGCACATCATAAAAATACATTATTTTATCTAGAAACATCAGAAAAATAATTAATTTGGAATTCTAATTAACAACTTAGACAATATTCATGACTTAAACATTTGTTCTGTTTGATTTCTAATAAAAAATAAAGTATTAAAATGAATAAGTAAATTCATAGATTATTATATTAAATATAATACCTGAATTGTTCCAATAATAATCTACGAAATCTGATTTGTAGAAACTTTTCCTAGCGATTACGGAGCTGTTGCCTTCAAAATTGGGATATCGATGCAACGTCACAAACGAAGGCTGTCCCTATAAAGAACAAAATGCTAAAATGATTTCAAAAGTTTGAATTAATACTAAATCTTTTATTTTATTTATTTATTATATTACAAATAGGAAAAGTCCAAAGATAAATGATTTCATCCCCTAAACCAACATAATATCCCAAACATAAATAAAAAAATCAAAATTTAAAACAATGTTTAAGAATTATAAAGCATACTTTACAAAAATTTTTACATAGCAAATGATCAAAGTGAAGCACATGTTCTATATTAATCAAACTATGAGCTGTATAATAAAAGAATGATCTATGATATATATTTAAGTGAAAAAAATAAACATAAATACATGATAAATTACAGTTATGTCTAGAAGGAACTCTGAAGTACAACCAATCAGGTTCAAAACCCTAGGTTTGACCACAGTCAAATCTCAGTTTTTGAGCTTAATTTGTTCCAAAAAATTGTTTGAAAACCAATTTGTTCTAAAACCAAAACAAATTTTTCCATAAGAAATAATGTAAAATGGTTTAATCCATTCTGGACCCCCAAAACAAAATCATTTGTTTTTTACCTTTATAGCTGTACTAGCAGACCCCGCCACGCATTGTTGTGGCTCAAAACGTATCTATTATAAATGTATAACACTTCCCCCGTGGAAGGGGGAATTTTTCAAAAAATTCCTTCTTAGTGTACATTCTCTTGACGTACCCTATTAAAACGAATCAAAAACGCAAAAAACCACATCCACTAGTATAATAAAAGCCAAGTTCTTCATGGTAAGCTTTAATCCTGTCCCTTTCCCCCGCGGGGGAATATCGAAAAATCCCTTTTCAGTGTATATTCTGTTGAAATACCCTATTAAAATGCAATCAAAAACACAAAAAACCGCATCAAAAATAGTATAAATAGAAGCAGAGTTCTTCGCGGTAAGCCTTAATCCTGTCCATCTCCCACCAGTGAGGGAATTCCGACATGTATATTATATAAAAACACAAGCATATTCGAATGCAGCATTGTGGCAAAATTTCAAAAGAATCGGTAGGAATAAACGAACATTACATTTTTATTTATATAGATAGATTGAAGATGATCTGCTTTAGTTCATCCTCACAGAAAAGCAAACTTAGATCGTCGTACTCGTAGTGCCATCTGTTGGACATAAAAGCCTTAACCCTAGATGATATCTTTTAATTTATATGAATGTTTAATGGATAATATACAGCCTATGTCTATCCTGAAGTTCCATTCTAAATATTAGTGAAAGAATTTTTGAAATCAGATGAAAAGTTTCAAAGATTATCCCTACATACAAACTTACAAACATTACCTCTTTATAACATTAGTACAGGTTTACATTGAGTTACGTCATTTTGAGTTACATCATTCTCGATTATACATCATTTGTCAAAAAATATATGGAAAAATAAAAATCAAGTTTAAGTCATTTTATTCAACTTTACGTCCATCCGCCACAAATATTAAAGTCGTAATATCACTAGAAAAGCGTTATAGTACATAAAATCGTATTAAAATATGTACATTTACAGTAAATGTACATTGGTAATATAATCATCATAAATCCTAGAGAACGAAACATGAAAATATATGCGTTTCTGTGTTGTCGTCTTATTCAGCAGTCTTTAAGTGCTCAATGTTGGTGTTTTCCACGATAGTTCCAATATATACCATTTGGTGTCGTCGTCAGTGCCACTCAATATTGGCAAATTTAATATAAATTAGTTTATTTTCTACTGTTGCAAGATAATTTTAATAACTGTATTTGTTATTTAACCTTACAAAATCATCTTATTTTATAATGTCTTAGAGCAAACCACATTCACAAATAGTCTGCAATGTACTGTAAACATCACCAAATTGTAAACATGTACATTTACAAGTATGTACTGTATGTGCATGAATTCATAAATTTAGATTACTTTTTTCTGTACTATATTAAAAACTAAAATTTATTTGTTTGTAAGCTTAAAATATATTCTTATTAACCATATATTAAAAATGCATTTATAAATAAAATACAGAACTGGGAACGGTTATTTGTGGTTTAGCCTAGTGACCAGTAAATTCGACTTACACCGTTTTTCGACTTAAGTCACCTCTCCTGGAACCAATTACCGATGTAAGATGAGGTATACCTGTATAGACTTCTTGCATAAAATGCCTATAAAAGGCAATATATTATTATTTTATATCTATATCTTGTGTATGTGTTTGTGTGCATGTATATGTTACAGTCAAAACCCGTTTTTAGTTAGAACGCGTTTTAACTAGTTGAAACTAGTTTATACTGAATGTCTTTGTCAAAACCCGTTTTGTCTAGTTGAAACTAGTTTATACTGAATGTCTTTGTTAAAACCCGTTTTGTCTAGTTAAAACTAGTTTAAACTCAAATTCATATTTGACTAGCAGTAAATTCTAGTTTTAAGTAGACAGAACGGGTTTTAACAAAGACATCCAGTATAAACTAGTATAAACTAGTTTTAACTAGTTAAAACGCATCCTAACTAAAAACTGGTTTGACTGCAACGCATAGAGTGATTCGGGGTAAGATGGTAAGCGGGGGAAGATGCCTAATTTTTGATATTTTCAAACGGTGACGTCACATATTGTCATGTATTTGTATGATGAATCGTTGGGCCAATATTGAGTGCGGAAAGCTGTAGTTGGCTACCGTTACTTCATTTTCTACATCCGAGAAGAATAAAAGCTAGATAAGAACGAAGTTTTTGTTGTGAAATGTTTCTAGAATAATTTTAAACTAAAAGTTAAAATGGAATTTATTAAAAATTGCTAAAAACAATTAATGTGTGATGTAGTTAAGGTTCTAAAGTTTCCATTGTCAGCTACCGCCGATCCCGATCGGACATGCTGGAGCACGTGACTCTACTAGGCATCTTACCCCAACAAATGGAAAATATGCCACATTTTTCTTGGGGTAACGTGCCTATTTTTTGTTAATTGATTTCCAATATGCCTATTTTTAATAAACTTTTGTTTTCTCGTTTTATTGCAGGATATGCATAGAAATTATATAAGGACTTCTCAAAAAAGTTTTTGGACTGAAAAAAGCTTTCAGCTAGCTATAGAACACGTTAGAACGGGCGGAAACTTAACAATACTTATACTGTGCTGTTATACTTACTATGAAGTACTTTGTACTACATATGCAATAAATTAAATTTGGTTAAGAAATTCAAAAATTAATTTTAAGCAATTATATTTGTTATCTTACCCTAATGGCATTTGGCATCTCACCCAGATACTTGGGGTGAGATGCTTAAAATGCCAGACAGTGAAAAAGTCGTCATTGCAAACACAGTATAGAATTTTTTAAAATAAACTCCAAACTTTTATTTGAAAGACATACTCCAGAATATGATATTTTCATTAGAGGGCTCCTAAACTCAAATTAGCGCTGTAATTTTCCTCATAAGCAAAATGTTAGGCATCTTCCGCCGAATCACTACACACAACTTTATTTCCCCCAAACATATTTATGTAGCTAAAATTAGTTTTAACTAATGTTAAAAATTAAAACTAGTTTTGTCTAAAGTCAAAACATGTACAGCAGTAAATTAACTAGACAAAACCGATTTTGTCTAGTTAAAACTAGAATTTACTGTAGTCAAAAATGAATTTGAGTTTAAACTAGTTTTAACTAGACAAAACGGGGTTTAACAAAGACATTCAGTATAAACTAGTTTCAACTAGACAAAACGGGTTTTAACAAAGACATTCAGTATAAACTAGTTTCAACTAGTTAAAACGCATTCTAACTAAAAACGGGTTTTGACTGTAACATATATATTAAATGCAAAATGTCCTGTTACCGCAAATCAAGACTAACACTTAGCAAAGAAGTGCTATATATAGAGACTAAACTTTGCCTGCATGAAATATAACCAAATCAATCAACACAGACAACAAGTACATTATCCACACTTTCCAAAATATTATGTTTCAATTGATTTGATTTAAATTAATTAATTTTATTTTTAGTTTCAATTCTGGTGTATAGGCCAGTTTTAATTATTTTATTACTGTTAGTTTTAATTAACTGACTACCTGGTATTATTAAATATAAACATAATAATATACAATATGACATTATAAATTTTTGTCATTTAATTTAACTTAAGCATATTTAAACACATGACGATGCCGAAGGGCCCCCCTATACTTCGGCACCACGTGACCAACAGGTTGACATCGCATCGGCGAAGATCGCAATGACAATTTGTGTCCAGACTGACACCACTGTGTCTTCATGGCTAGACACAGAAACCGTTTCGTTCAGGTGTGTGAGTGGTCACGCGTGTGTGTGTGTGAACGGATTCGGGATGGAGGGAGAGACAGTGCACCAGAAGTGACTTACTTAAAGACGGGTTAATGTAACAACTGTTTAATGGGTAACAACAGGCCATACATTTTGATTTTAAATATGCTAGTTTTTTGATACATTTCTACGATTTGATAGATAGTGGCTCTATTTGATATTACATTTTTCCCTGTTTTGTGTGAGAGAGAGAGAGTTTACAGAAGTTTCGTGTAGCAATAAATACCTTGTTTGTTGTCTTGGTGGAGATTCTCGAGCGTTCTTGGAGAAGGAAAGGAAGTTCGGGATGTCAGTTCAGGTATCTAGTAGAGGAAGTATCCATAAGAACGATAGAATGTGCAGTATCCGCAAAGGTGTTAGACAATGGTACGATGTTTTCCGATGATATTTTAGTAGGATATAAAAACGTAGAATAAAATGATATATTCACAGATATCCGAATATTGAGGCACTTAGGACAAGGTACAGGTGACAACTTCTCTTTTCGAAAGACGGGCGGCAACTGCCTCACATTGTTGTTGTTCTGTTCTAATGTTGTACTCGTGAAAGTGAGATATTAGGTCAAAAGGTGATGAGAAAGCGTCGTTATTAGGCCTGAGAACTTAACAAATGTTTAGCTCCCAGGTGTAAAAGTTGACAGTTATTGAACGAAAGTATAGCTACAATGTGAA